GCTAGACCAAGCACTCAAAGCCTCAGCCAGACTAAGCACTTCCAAGCCTCGGCCAGACCGAGCACTCAAAGCCTCAGCCAGATTGAGCACTTCAAAGCCTTGGCCAGACCAAGCACTCAAAGCCTCAGCCAGACTGAGCACTTCCAAGCCTCGGCCAGACCGAGCACTCAAAGCCTCAGCCAGACTGAGCATTTCCAAGCCTCGGCCAGACCGAGCACTCAAAGCCTCAGCCAGAATGAGCACCCAAAGCCTCGGTCAGACCGAGCACCCGAAGCCTCGGCCAGACTGAGCACTTCAAACCCTCGGCCAGACCGAGCACACAGAGCCTCAGCCAGGCTGAGCACTTTAAAGCCTCGGCCAGACCGAGCGCTCAATGCCTCAGCCAGACTGAGCACCTCAAAGGCTCGCCCAGACCGAACACTCAAAGCCTCAGCCAGACTGAGCACTTCAAAGCCAAGCAGGACCACATTTTTAACACTTAGTCACATTTTGAAGCTTATTCACAATTCCAGGACCACGTTTTTACCTAGTCAAATTCTAAACATGTTCTCACGTATTTCATTTACTAATCAGATTATCTACCACCCCACCCAGTTTGTTTCTCTAATCTCTCCTCTACAAGTCTACACTTAACTGTTTAGTTACAATTTGCAACCTACCCTTTGTCCTCATCCATAGATTCTTCATCCGTACTTATTGAACTAGAAGTACTAACCCCACTTGAATATTATGTTCTACAATTTCCTAATCCAATTTTTCAATCAACCACTATCAACCTTTCAATTTTCATACAACTCCAATCTCACTCTGCAGGGAGGAACTTCAAACTTAACTTTGCACGAAATTTTTATTGCATCATGTTTATGACCAGTTTTTATAACAAGACTTCATTCATTTCAGACAATACAGGCCATTCCATTTCACACAGTCATTTCTCAAGACTTCATTCATTTCACACAGTCCACTGACAACATAAACGATTCATTCACTCACTCATTCATTTAAAATGTGTACACAAGTTCATTACAAAAAAAAAAAAACAAAACAAAACAAAACAAAACAAAAAACACAAACATAGAGCATGCCCAGCTCTTCTTCTTCTTGGTTATTCCTCCTCGCTGGACGCCAGCTCTTCTTCTTCAATGCCCTCGTCCAGGGGGGTCTGGGTCATATCATCTTCACCCATCGTTACACTACTCAGGTCCAAGTGTAGGAACAGCTCTTCAGCTCTGCGCTTGAACATCTTCCAACCGCTGTCCCAGAACTCGGCCATTTCGTGCTTGTAGAAGTCTGACTGCTGGAAGCTTTCAATCACCTCTGCCTCTGTCCTACCTCCAGCAGTCTTCCTTGATGGGCCTACCCCCCCAGACTCTTGCCCAGCCAGACTCCTGGCGACAGCGGCGTCTATCGCCATCTGAAATTCGGGGGACCCTTTATATTGCTCCACTGCTGCGACGCACAGATCAGGGTAGGCCGCCCTCTCAGACGCCGCCTTCGCCCTCTCTTCGTCTAGCTCTCTTTGCAGGGCCCCCCTTTCAGTAGCCGCCGTCGCCCTCTCCTCTTCCACCCCCTTTTTCAGACTCTCCAGCTCCACCATCGCCTTCGCCTTCTTTGTTTCCCATTCCCTCATCAGCCTCCCCTTCTCCTCCTCTGCCTTGATGCGCTCATTCTCCAACCCCTTCAACAGCTCTTCAATTCTGGCATCTGCCTTATCTTTTTGCCTGACCAGCTCTTCGTTGCTGCTTATGGCCTCTTCATGCCACTCAATCGCAACGGCGCAGACCCTTTCAGACTCCTCCACCTTCTTCTGTTCGCCAGCCAGTTAGAACTCGAGCGACACGACCTTACGGTGTGTATCCTCCAGCTCCAACTTGACTGCTTGCAGTTCAGCATGGGCAGTCTTCCAGTCGGCACTGTCCTTCTTCAATTTGGCCAACTGGGCCTTGGCCTCTTCAGCCTTTAACTTGGCAGCCCCTACCTTCCTAAGAAGGGCCCCTGCCAAGGTAGTTACCTCCATTTGGGCGGAGCATAACCCCCTCAGCAGGTCAGCCTCGTTATATCCTGATGCCGCGCGCAGAGCTGTCTCCTCCACAATCTTCACCAAGCGGTCTGCCCCTGCCTTGGCTGGGCCTCCTTCTCCCTCCAACCTTCCAGCTACCGCGCGGGCATGATAGATTACCGTAGCCAGACGAACCCCTCCTTCTTGGGGGGTAGGCCCCTTCTGGACCTGCTCCCTTCCGCTCGGCGCCGCCTCAGTCAGCCCAGCCTCTACTTGCACTGCTGGAGCAATCTCCACAACCTTCACTGTTGGGATGACCTCCACCACCTCTGGGGCATCCTTGGCCACAGGGACCTCCACCTCAGTTGGGGCCACCTTAGCCCTGTTGGCCCCAGACTCATCTGCGGCCTCCTCTGGGGCACTTTTCTTCTTCTTCTTCTTTTTCAGAGCCTCCCCCTCCTTTCTGGCCTGTTTTTTTACAAGGTCTACGGGGGGCGGCTGCGGCTCAAAACTGCTTAAGTCTTTTCCCCCCAACGGCCTTGGGCGCGGTCGGATCCTCTCCCGCACGACCAGTTGAGGCGGTCGGTCTCCTCGCGCTTCCTTCAACTTCGTGGCCTTGGCCAGAACGGCCTGATCCTCTACCTCCTGAGCTTTTCTTCTCGCCTCCAATTCTGCTTGGTCGAGGTCCCCACCCTTCGGCTGCGGTCCCAGCCCTGCCTCAAACAATGCGGACGGTTGAACAAGCTCGTCCCATTTGGCCTTCTCTCTCTCTCTCCACTCCTTCACTCTCTTCACCATCTCTTCCGCCATTGCCCCAGTCTCGACTCCATCGACCTAGTTGGCACCTTCCAGATGGTGCGCACCCCCACTCCCCCATTAGCAGACACGTAGAACCACCGTGGCCGCCACCCCTTGATCGATGTCGGCAGCCCCGCCACCAATCCCTTCCCCATCACCGCCTGTAGGGTGACCCACGTTTCTTGCTGCCCCGACGCCTTATAACACGAAAAGAACTCGTCTACCGTCATGGCCTCCCCTCCATTCGCCTTGGGCCATGCACTCGCACAGGCCAGCAGAATCTTCCATGCATTGGGCATCAATTGCCCCGGCGCTACCTCCAGGCGATTCAGCACGTCAACCACCACTTGGGGCAGTGGCAACCTCAGCCCACCTTTTAGCGCCTCCTCGTACAAGGAAAACTCCCCTGGCCTAGCAGCAGACGGCCTTTCCCTTGATGTTGGCAGCAATAATTCCACCTCCGCCGGAATCTGGTATCGTTCCCTGATAGCCTCCAAATCCGCCGCAGTGAGTGTGGATTTGTCCGCCTTAGTGTGCCACTGATCTGGCTCTACCTGGCTTAGTGGCTTTGGAGGCAATATCAGGGCCGACGCCTGCGATTCTCCCACCGGTTCCCCCATCCCCACCCCCACCATTCATGTCTCCGTCTTATATCGCGCTGCTAGCTCCTCCGCATCATCGTCTCCCAGCGGGTCCACCCTCACATTGACTACTTCTTCTTGTGCCATTTCTAGGGTTTGCTTACAAATCACTTCTGACGCAGGAGCAAGGAAGTTGAGAAAATGCTACACAGGTGTGTCGTACGCAATGAAGGAATTAACACTTGGATATTTTGAGTTTTTGTAAAAAGGTAGGTGAAACGCATTATACCAAAAACCCACGGTTTACCCGTATTCCATGGATCCACATTAATTTTCGCCCGTTTCAAAACCTTTCAAATCAACCGCCAAAACCGCCTTTTCAAAACCCCCCCACTGACCTATCGTTTCATTTCTGCTCCAACGCTTCACTTCCCCCACGATATTGCCACGTGTATGGCCACGATGCACTGTCCCCTCCTTTAGCGCGCTCATCCTCCAACTCCTTCAACAGATCTCCAATTCTGGAATCAAAAGCCCACGGTTTACCCGTATTCCATGGATCCGCATTAATTTTCGCCCGTTTCAAAAGCTTTCAAATCAACCGCCAAAGCCGCCTTTTCAAAACCCTACTCGTGACCTATCGTTTCATTTCTGCTCCAACGCTTCACTTCCCCACGATATTACCACGTGTATGGCCACGATGCACTGTCCTCTCCCGTTCCCCACTGTCCCCCCCTTTCCCTTGTCTTTTCCATTTCAAATCATCACATGGCCCCAACCCACCCCCTCTCCTTTCGAACCCCGCGCCGTCCTGGTCGGCACGCCTCTCGGTCGACCCCTCCCGCTCGGCCACCCTCGCGGTCGGCACGCCTCACGGTCGACCCCTCCCACTCGGCCACCCTTACGGTCAGCTTCTCCCGCTCAGTCACCCTTGCGGTCGGCACGGCTTCCAGTCGGCCTCTCCACTCGGTTCGCACTTCTCTTCCTTATTACTATTCCCTTCGTTGGGCTAAAGCTGCACTCGGAAATGGGGGACTACTGACATGGATAGGCCCACAAGGCATACAGCCCACAGCAAACCACCCCAAACCCATCGCTTGGGACCAATAGCATAACCCGGTTGGCAAAGCCCAGGACAGTTGGAGGCCATCTAGACATGGAGGGCCAATGGCATTCGGGCACATGACAGGTGGAACACAGACCACATCAGCAGACAAAGATCTGCAGAGTTATTACCACAACACATCACCATTAATGCAGCCCATCACAGCATTTATTACGATAACACCTCCCCGTCGGAACAGAGCCCCCTCACCCTGAACAAGGTAAGCTACGGCACAGGCTTTCGGCGAAAGGGGGCACGTCACAAGGAACAGTGAAATGATTACCAAAGGATATAAGTAAGAATAGAAGACAAGAGGAATGTTAAGCTTTTTATCTCTCTCTCTCTCTCTCTACATTTCATTCTTCCTCTACTGATTCTCTCGCCGGAGGGTTCACTGGGGGACTGCCCCGTTCCCCTTTGGACTTGCTTGCAGGTCATTTGGCAGAATCATCACCATGAACCGGAACTTGAAGAGCTTGAACCAGCTCGATCCATCCACCCGGGACGGACTGTATTATCAGCCACGAACAAGAACTGGAGGTTCCACAACTATTTCTTCTCCTGGACACTTATTTGGAAGTGGAAGTCCATAAAGTTCAAGGTTTCCTGAGTATACATAGGGATCAAAGCTTTGCAATTGAGTGCTTATTGGGATTCTTCTCGACAACCTGTTATGTGACAAATTCAACACATTGAGAAAATTTAGATCAGCGAGGCTGGTAGGAATCGCGCCCAAAAGCTCATTTGCAGACAAGTCAAGAGATTCCAACATTTTCATCCAACCAACTTCTTGGATGATATTTCCTGTCAAATTGTTTCTTGATAGGTTCAAAGAAACCAACCCCGCAAGACCCCCAACTTGTATAGGAATTTTCCCAACAAGTTCATTGCCAGAAAGATCAATGAGGTTTAGTAGTCTCAAATTATTTCCGTATTTTGACTCTTGTCCTTTCCACAACACCAATGCATTCTCAATATAACTGGAAAATCTAACAAAGAAGGGTTCAAATGTCCCATAAGAAGGAAAACTGATTGCCCTAGAACTCTTACTTTCCGCCAAGGCAGTAAAATTGTGAAAACAGTGTGGTATGTTTCCTGATAAACGATTTTTGGAGAAGTCCAAAATTTGAATTTTGGTAAGGTGACATATATGTCGAGGTATGCTTCCCTTGAACTCATTGGATCGCAGACTAAGAACAATCAAACTTGTTAGGTGTGTCCCTATCCACGCTGGTATTTTTCCTGTGAATTTATTTCCTCCCAGATCAATCATTCTTAACTTTGTGCATCTGTTTAATGAAGAAGAAACTTCCCCAGAGAAATTGTTGTTGCTCAAGTGCAAAGAATAAATGCCTAGGGAACCCATTGAGCTCGGAATTTTCCCATACAAATTATTGTATGCCAAACTAATTATGGATAGTCTTGTGAATTGCACCCAACAATTGGGAAGCTCTCCTGATAGCAAGTTATTTGAGAGGTCAAGATAGATGAGCCCCATACCCATAATTGCGCATAGGAAAGAAAGTGAACCTGAGAACTCATTTTTGGAGAGATTCAAAACTGTTACATTGGGAGGAACTAGTGGTATTGGACCCATAAAATGATTTGAACTTAAATCTATACCAAGGTAACCATGATACTTCACTGATAGATCAGGCAACAAGCCTTTGATCAGATTGCAAGAGAGATTTAAATAAATTAAACCTGGGGATAGATCCCAGAACCAACTAGGAACAACATCTGAAATTCCATTACTTGAGATATCAAGCTGGGAGAAGTTATTTTGTGTTTGAAGCCATTTTGGGAAATGAGGCCCCAACTTACAAGATGACAACATTATAATATCAAGTTGGAAAGGAGGAACCCAATCAGAACTGAAGTTAAAAGTTAACGGGTTTGAAGATAATGACAAAAACTTCAGACTGGAGAGATTAGAGAAGTGAGTATCAGAGATTATGCCTTTTAATGAATTGAAAGAGACATCGAAATACTCAAGCTTAGAAAGTTGTCCAATATTTACATGCATGGTCCCATTCAATTGATTGTCTTCAAGATCTAAATGCGTCAATGATGGAACCGTTGAAAGGTTAGGTAGTGACCCTGAAATCTGGTTTCCATACAACATAAGAGAAGCAAGATTGGGATGTCGTCCAAAAGTTTCTGGGATGGACCCACTCAATTGATTAAAGGCAACAGATAATGCTTTTAAGGAAGAAAATCTTGTAAAATCAGGCAATGGTCCACTGAGTTGGTTGTAATCCATATTCAAAACCTGTAACGAGTCCTCTGCCCCAGACAATTTCTTAAGGAAAATGCGTCAATGATGGAAACGTTGAAAGGTTAGGTAGTGACCCTGAATTCTGGTTTCCATACAACATAAGAGAAGCAAGATTGGGATGTTGTCCAAAAGTTTCTGGGATGGACCCACTCAATTGATTAAAGGCAACAGATAATGCTTTTAAGGAAGAAAATCTTGTAAAATCAGGCAATGGTCCACTGAGTTGGTTGTAATCCATATTCAAAACCTGTAACGAGTCCTCTGCCCCAGACAATTTCTTAAGGAATTGATGAAGTTCTTCAATTAAATTGTTTTCGGACTTAAATTTGCAAAGGATTTTGGAAGGCTACCTTCAAGATAATTGCCATAAAGACTGAGATTTGTGAGAAAAATCATGTCTCCAAAAGAATCAGGAATGGGACCTTTTAGCTGGTTAACAGAAAGGTCTACATCAGTGAGGCTATAACTAAAGTTGAACAACCAACTATATATTGAAGATGACAGATCATTTAAAGATAGATTAAATATAGAAAGAGACACAGAAGAATTAAAAGGAAGTGAGAGATGAGTGATATTAGGAAGACAGATTATTGATAGACTGAACCCAGTTGACTGCTTTACTGAGGTTAACATAAGTAAGGTCCAAGTGACTGATCAAAGAAAGATGAGAAATTCACTCAAGATTTCCACAGTTCAGATCAAAATTGTTGGCAAGATTAAGATATTGCAAGTTAGAAAGGTTCCTGAACTGATTAGGAATTGGACCAGAAAAGCCATTACATGCAAGGTTGAGGTATTGTAGTTTGCCGAGAGAACCAATGAACTTTGGGATGTGGATATCTACGAAATCATTTCCATGAAGATCTAAATACTTCAAATGTTGCAATTCAAGCAATGAAGGACTAATCTTACCTCTCAGTGCTTGATATGCCGGGAGAGAATAATTGTGCGATACATGAAGATCGAGCATGGTGACATGACTAGTGTGGTTGTTGCACCCAACTCCTCTCCATTTCCAACAATCTTTTTTATCTTCTTCACTCCCCCAAGTAGAGAGAATTGTTGGCTCCATTCACTACCCACATGGTAAGGAGCCCACCATCCACATGGTGTGGGTGGCACCATGTGGTAAAAGAAGTTGGTGGAGGGCATCACCAACTCACTAAAGGAAGATAGTGAGGGTGGCACCACCTTGGCCAATTATGGCTAGCACTTCACCTACTCCTCCTCTCTTGGTTATAAATTGAGATGAGTGAGGAGGGGTTGGTATCATCAGAAATTGGAGAGTGAGAGCTGTGAGTTGAGTGAGTTTCATCTCCTCCTCTGTATTTGTATTTTGCTCCATTTTAGTGAAAATTCTCATTTCTGTCCGTGGATGTAGGCATTGGGCCGAACCACGTAAATATTGTGTTCTCTGTGTGTGTGAGATATTTTTCTGGGTGTGTTTGATCCTAACAAAGTGGTATCAGAGCCGGTGTTGTACGTTTTTCAGAAAAACAGAGTGTTGTTCCGAAACTGCCCAGAAATCGTATTGCTCGAAATCAGTTTTTGAGCATACTAGGAGCAAGGGCTCGACGAGAGGAGTCCAAAAATATAAAGCAGACACCCAACGGAGGCCGGACGCGCCCTTACGCGCCTCTGGAAGTTGGCGCGTGAGTCCCAGTCGCGTCACGCGCCGTGCAGTCACCCGGCGCGTGGCCACCAATCTCACACGCGCCTCATGCTCTTCCAGAGGAAGAAGACGCGTGAGTTCACGCGCATACACGCGCCGCACGCGCCCGCGCCAGTCGAGCCGAGTCTTCAGCCAAGCCGCTGACCGAGCCGTTGACCAAGCCTGCAAGCCGCTGACCGAGCCGTTGACCGAGCCGCTGACGTCAGCCCGACGCCAGCCGAACCGGAGAAATAATTTTGTGCTTCTCAGCCGCACCAGATTCTACCGATCTGAACCATTCAATCTGTTTTTGGCTTGATCTAAGCCATTTGAGGTCCGATTTGGGTGATCCAATAGTGCTTTCCAACTATTTGGAATATTTCGGACACATCCCTATGGTCAGATTTTTCAAATAAGCTTTCAAAAATTTGCCGTGTTTCTTTTGACAATCCGAAGTGCTTTTCCGGCTAATTTGAGCAGTCCGGACTTCACAGCAAAGCCTGTTTTTTCATACAGAGATCATTCTTTGTATGATGGAGGAACCAACGTCGACTTCAGGTTCCATGATAAAGTTAAATGCTTCCAATTATGCTATTTGGAAGCCCAGAATGGAAGATGTCTTAAATTGCTGAGATTTGTTTGACCCCATTGAGCTTAATGGAGTTAAACCACCAACGGAAAAAGACGAAGACTGGAAGCGGAAGAACCGAAAGACTATTGGCCAGATCAGACAATGGATTGATCATAGTGCCTTCCACCATGTTGCCTAGGAGACTGATGCCTATGCTCTCTGGACAAAGTTAGAAGGCATGTACCAGTCGAAGACTGCTCGGAACAAAGCCCTCCTGATGAGAAGACTTGTGAATTTGAAGTTGAAAGGCGGTATCTCTGTTGCTGAATACACCAGTGAGTTTCAAAATTTGGTGAACCAACTAACAACTGTCAAAATGGAGTTAGATGATGAGATGCAGGCCCTATTGCTGCTCAGTTCTTTGCCAGACAGTTGGGAGACATTGGTGGTGTCCCTCAGCAACTCTGCCCCAGAAGGGAAACTGACAATGAGCATGGTTACAGATGCTTTATTTAGTGAAGAGGCAAGAAAGAAAGAAATGGGTGGAGATCAATCCCATGCCCTCGTCACAGAAAATAAAAGCAGAGGTAGGGGCAGGGGAAGAAGCAAAAGTAGAGGACGCAGCAGAGGAAGATCTCAAGACAGAGGGAAATCCAGAGAAGGTACGAGCCGGCCAAAGTTCAAATGTTACCATTGTGGCCAGGAGGGTCACATAAAGAAGTATTGCTATGCCTTAAAGGGAGAACAACAACAAGGCAATAGACAGCCAAAGACCGAAGATGGGACCACTGCAGTCTTTATCTCAGAGGATATTGCATTATTCTCTGTTGAAGAAGAAGAATGCCTCCATATGTCAGACAACGACACCGAGTGGGTGGTAGATACAGCAGCTTCCTACCACGCTACATCCCAGAAGGAGTTCTTCAGTACGTACCAAGCTGGAGATTTTGGTACAGTGAAAATGGGTAACTCCAGTTTTTCAAAAATTATGGGAATTGGTGATGTTCATATCCAAACCAAAGTTGGGTGCACGATGGTGTTGAAAGATGTCAGACATGTTCCCGATTTACGCCTGAATCTTATTTCAGGGATAGCCTTAGATCGACAAGGCTATGAGAACTACTTTGGCAAAGGCATATGGAAGTTGAAAAAGGGATCTCTCGTGGTAGCCAAAGGACAGGCAATTGGCACACTATACAAGACTCATGTGGAGGTGAATTCAAATAGCCTCAACGCAGCAGAAGATGAGGCGTCACCAAATTTGTGGCACAAAAGGCTGGGCCACATGAGTGAGAAAGGGTTACAGATTTTGGCAAAGAAGTCACTTATTCCCTTTGCCAAAGATGCAAAATTAAATCCTTGTGACAACTGCTTGTTTGGGAAGCATCATAGAGTCGCTTTCCATTCATCATCCAGAAGACAATCAGAGTTGTTGAGCAGATATACTCTGATGTTTGCGGTCCCATTGAAGTGGAATCTTTGGGTGGTAGAAAATACTTTCTGACGTTCATTGATGATGCATCACGGAAGGTATGGGTTTATGTCTTAAAGACCAAAGCTGAGGTGTTTCAGCATTTTCAGACATTCCATGCTATGGTGGAAAGGGAGACTGGAAAGAAGCTGAAATGTCTCCGAACAGACAATGGAGGCGAGTACACGTCAAAGGAATTCAAAGCCTACTATGCTACTCACGGCATCCGGCATGAGAAGACTGTTCCTGGAACCCCACAACACAATGGTGTAGCCGAGAGAATGAACCGAACCATTGTGGAGAAGGTCAGATGTATGCTCAAAATGGCAAAGCTACCAAAGCCATTTTGGGGAGAAGCTGTTCTTGTTGCTTGCTATTTGATCAACAGATCGCCATCAGTTCCACTGAATTTTCAGATTCCAGAAGAAGTATGGTCTGGAAGGGAGATCTCTTACTCTCACTTGAGAGTGTTTGGGTGCAAAGCATTTGCACATGTATCCAAGGAGCACAGACAGAAGCTGGATGACAAAGCCACTCCATGCATCTTTATTGGCTATGGAGATGAAGAATTTGGATACAGATTGTGGGATCCGAAACACAAAAAGGTCATTCGAAGCCGAGATGTGGTGTTTCAAGAAGGCCAGACCTTTGAAGACTTTGGGCAACCAGCCAAACCCAAAGTTGATGATGTTTCAGAAATTATTCCAAACCCTGCACCATCACAGCATGCCACTGATGAAGAAGAGTTACCGCAGCATGCAGTCAATGATGTAGAGTTGTAGGATGGATTTCTAGAAGAAGAAGATCCAGAAGCAGAGGGTGTTGAGCAGGGGGAGCCACAACCCCCTCTACCAGAGACTGTTGGTCCACAGTTACGAAGATCAATAAGAGAATTTAAGCCGTCAACCAAATACCCTACTTCTGAGTATATTTTGCTTACTGATGAGGGGGAGCCAGAAAGTTTTCAAGAAGCTCAAAATTATAAGGAGAAGAGTAGCTGGCAGCAAGCTATGCAAGAAGAGATGCAATCCTTGCAGAAGAATTAGACTTATGATTTGGTGAAACTTCCCCAGGGTCGAAAAGCATTGTAGAACAAATGGGTGTTCAAGTTGAAGAAAGATGGCAGTGGAAAGCTAGTCAAGTATAAGGCTCGATTGGTTGTCAAAGGTTTTGGACAGAAGAAAGGTATTGATTTTGATGAAATCTTCTCGCCAGTTGTGAAAATGACATCCATTCGAGTAGTTTTGGGACTAGCAGCTAGTTTGAATTTGGAACTTGAACAAATGTATGTGAAGACAGCATTTCTCCATGGTGATCTGAAGGAAGAAATTTATATGGAGCAGCCAGAAGGTTTTGAAGTCGAAGGGAAAGAAAACTTAGTCTGCAGATTGAAGAAGAGTCTCTACGGCCTCAAACAAGCGCCGAGACATTGGTACAAGAACTTTGACTCATTCATGGTAGGTCATGAGTACAAGAGAACTGCTGCAGACCAGTGTGTTTATGTCAGGACATTTCCCGGTGGAAACTTTATCATACTTCTGCTCTATGTTGATGACATGTTGATCGTTGGACAAGATGCCACAACAATCAGATCACTAAAGAAGGAGTTATTACAGTCCTTTGACATGAAGGACCTAGGCCCTGCACAACAAATTTTGGGCATGAATATTGTGCGTGACAGGAAAGCCAAAAAGTTGTGGCTGTCACAAGAGAAGTACGTTGAACGAGTAATTGAGAAGTTCAACATGAAAGATGCCAAGCCAGTCAGTACTCCGCTGGCTAATCATTTCAAGCTGAGCAAGAATTCTTGTCCCTCTTCTACGAAGGAAAGACAAGAGATGGAGGCGATTCCCTACTCATCCGCTGTAGGGAGTTTGATGTATGCAATGGTGTCCACCCGACCAGATATTGCTCATGCGGTTGGAGTTGTAAGCAGATTCCTTTCCAATCCAGGAAAAGAGCATTGGGAAGCCGTCAAGTGGATTCTGAGATACCTCAAGGGCATAGCAAAAATGTGTTTGTGCTTTAGAGATGCTAAACCAGTCTTGGAAGGCTATACTAATTCAGATATGGCAAGCGATCTTGATGGTAGGAAATCTACATCAGGATTTCTATTCACTTTCGCAGGGGGAGCTGTGTCTTGGTAGTCCAAGCTGCAGAAATGTGTTGCTTTATCCACAACAGAGGCAGAGTATATTGCCGCAGCGGAAGCTGGGAAAGAGATGTTGTGGTTGAAACGGTTTCTCCAAGACCCAGACAATTTCTTAAGGAATTGATGAAGTTCTTCAATTAAATTGTTTTCGGACTTAAATTTGCAAAGGATTTTGGAAGGCTACCTTCAAGATAATTGCCATAAAGACTGAGATTTGTGAGAAAAAT